AAATTCGCAAAAATAGAAGAAGGAAAAATGGTGTCGGCGGTTCCCACTGTACCACCGCTTCCCACTGAGCCCCGAACCCGTCCTCCCGACATCGCGCTCCCGCACTGTGTCTGTTACTCTCTCCCTCTCCTCTCCCCTTTCCTCCTCCACTCCCTCCTCTTTCCTTCCCTCGTCTTTTCCTCCCAAAAATAGCAAAATGATCGCCCCCCGAGACGCCCCCCGACTCCTACTGTGTGTTACTGTACCCCGGGGGGGGGGGGGGGGGCAGGGGGGGATGGGGGGGGGGCAGGGGACAGGGGGGATGGGGGGGGGACAGGGGACAAGGGGGGATGGGGGGGGGGACAGGGGACGGGGGTCCTCACACCGCTACTGCAACGGGAGGGAGAAGATGGGCAGAGGGGGGGGGGCAGGGGCAGGGGGGGGGACAGGGGGGGAGAGGGGGGAGAGAGAGGCGGGGAGGGGAGAGGTGGGGAGGGGGAGGGGAGATGGGGAGGGGAGAGAGGGTGGGGGGGAAGAGGGGGGAGAGAGGTGGGGGCAGAGGGGGAGAGAGAGAGGGAGGGGGAGACGACTCCCCAGCAATAATAATAATAATCGTTGCATTTGATACGGCGCCTCATCACGTCTTCAAGATGTCTCAAAGTGCTTCACAGGATATACTGTAAAGTGTAGTGACTGTATATTTGTGAGCGAAACGGGGCAGCCAATTGCGCACAGCAGCGTCCCATAGACAGCCCCACACACAGCCCCACACACAGCCCCACACACAGTCCCACACACAGCCCCACACACAGCCCACACACAGCCCCACACACAGCCCCACAGACAGCCCCACACACAGCCCCACACACAGTCCCACAGACAGTCCCACACACAGCCCCACACACAGCCCCACACACAGCCCCACACACAGCCCCACACACAGCCCACAGACAGCCCCACACACAGCCCCACACACAGCCCCACACACAGCCCCACACACAGCCCCACAGACAGTCCCATAGACAGTCCCACACACAGCCCCACACACAGCCCCACACACAGCCCCACAGACAGTCCCACAGACAGCCCCACACACAGCCCCACAGACAGTCCCACACACAGCCCCACAGACAGTCCCACACACAGCCCCACAGACAGTCCCACAGACAGCCCCACACACAGCCCCACAGACAGTCCCACAGACAGCCCCACAGACAGCCCCACAGACAGTCCCACACACAGCCCCACAGACAGCCCCACAGACAGCACCACACACAGCACCACACACAGCCCCACACACAGCCCCACACACAGTCGTGGGTTGAAGTAACAATTTTTTTCTTGGGAGACATTACAATATAATAATAATCTTTGCATCTGATATCACATCGGAGACACCGCAGTAAGTGAGAGGCCCGGGTTTGATTCCCAGCACCGTGAGGCAATGGGCAAGTTTCCTTACCCCCCCCCACACACACACAGACACACACAGACAGACACACACACAAACACACACAGATACGCACACTCAGACAGACAGACACGCACACACACACAGACAAACACACACAGACACAGACACAAACACACACAGACACACACACAAACACACACAGACACACACACAAACACACACAGATACGCACACTCAGACAGACAGACACGCACACACACACAGACAAACACACACAGACACACACACAAACACACACAGACACACACACAAACACACACAGACACGCACACTCAGACAGACAGACACGCACACACACACAGACAAACACACACAGACACAGACACAGAAACACAGACAGACACACAGACAGACACACACGCACAGACACACGCATACACACAGACACACACACACACACAGACAGACACACACACACAGACACACACAGATACAGACAGACAGACATACACACACGCACACAGACACACAAAGACACGCACACACACACACAGACACACACACACAGACACACCCAGATACAGACAGAC